TTTTTTTTTTTTAAATTCATTTATTAAGTGTGTGTTTGAGCCACATTATTTTTAAAGAATGTATTTCGGAATAATAGATTGATGGAGAATGTGTGGTTAAAAAATAAGGAAACATTTTGAATTTATGTATAATATTATTTTATTAAAGAATATGTGATTAAAATGATGTAAAATCACTATTTAAGAATGTATATATTTTTTTTTTCTTCAAAAAATACAGCTCAAACAGGAAGTTGGTTTTCACGAACAAATGAATATGAAGCACTGCAAATAACAAACAAGGCTACATAAATCAAATTTTCAGATAAAAGTAGGCTACATTAGATATCGAGAAATAAATCTAAATTAGAAAAAATCAACTAATTTGCATTATATGAGATAAGAGTCATTCTAGACAATCATACGATCTGAAAATATTAAATTAGAATATAAAATTTTACTAAAAGGCAAATTTGATTTCTATACAAATTAAGAGCTAGTCAAAATTAACCATTAAATTACATTTCATTTTTCTCTTTCTTATTTTCAACCACACAATTTTTTATAAAATAATATTACACGTAAATCGAAAACTTTTTCTTTCTTTTCAACTACTCATTAAAAAAAAAAAATTAATCCATCCATTTTCATTTCAAAAAATGGGGGCCAAACGGGGGCTAGATTGAGATGTTAGAATTGGAGTGATGTGTCAAATATTTAATGGTGAATGACCAAATGAAGATGATATATATGAACTCTAATTGGAGAATATGAATCCAATGGCTCATTGTACTTTCAGATGAATTGGATTGTTTATTTAAGTTTTTGAACTAAGATAATGTATGGAGTTTTAGTTTTTCATATTAAGTAGTCAACTTCATTAAAGAAGTAATTTAATCTCTTAATGTCTACTATTTAAGATTTTTCTCTTTCGTTCCTTCCTCGACTCTTGTTATTGCTGCTCTTCAAATACATACCACCATTTTTGGGTACTCCCAATCATTGTGGTTTTTGAGTTTGAAGAGGATAAAATTAATTCGATGGATCCAGATCTAGGATTTCATAGGGTTTCCAATCAATTAGAGACTAAAACACTGTGGCTTAATCATCAAAGCATTCAAATCAAAATAATGAAGAGTGAAGTGATATATTCGAAAACTTGGTTCATGGAAGTTAACCAATTGTGGCCTAATCTTTGTGAAAGTATTAATGTATCTAATATTGATTTTTGAAAATAATCCTTCCTAGTCTGACCTGGAATGAAGTGTGAACATGATAAAGTTAACATAATTAATTAGAGTAGGTGGAAAAAAAATTGAAAAAAACAAAAGTAATTTAAAAAATGGACGCGTGATACACATTCTTAAACTTTGATTGATTGGGCCCAAGAGGGTCCATTTGACAGGAACTTTGAAAAGTCGAAAAGTTGAATCAAAAACAAAGAAACTGCTTTTCAACGTGATTGGATAATTTTTTGAAAGCGCTTTATATAGATAAGAGAGTTTTTAGAAAAAAGTTAGCCAAAAATAACTTCATCAAGAATTCCTTCTATAAGAAGCATAATCATGTCACATGGACTATTAATTTAACTCGAGGTGCATTAAAAAAATTCAGCCAGAATCGAAAATTACAAAAGTTTAAAAAAAAAATGGAAATATGATAAACGTGTTTAAATTTTATATTATCTTTGAATAATTAATTTCACTCGAGACACATTAAAATATTTCAGCCAGCCATTATGCCAACTATACCATAAACTAAATATAACAGAATGTTTAATAATAATGTATAACAATTTGTTAGTGGTGTTTCAAAAAAATGGAAAAAGGTGGCCTGCCAAAAAAAAAAAGTGACCGAGGCTTTGACAGCCTCTCAGAGTGGCGGGCTCGAGCTGAATAAACAATTTCAGAAAAAAAAAAAAAAAAAAATGGCCCCCCCCCTGTTGTTAGTGTAGATAAGCCTTCCTGTCAAAAATTTTCTCTCACTGGGACCTCTAAAAAAAAAATTTAAAAAAAAAAAAAAAAAAAAGAACTGGCCCCCTCCATGTTGTGAGTGTAGATAAGCCTTCCTGTCAAAAATTTTCTCTCACTGTAGTTCGATTCAAAAAATAAAAATAAAAAAATGGTATCTATCGTATCAACGATTTCTAATATTCTTTATTTATATCTATATTATTATATTTCCTGTTTCCTTTTCTTCTTCTTGAAAACCACATGCCCAGTGTCCTTGGTTTTGTGTCCATTAGTTGACCAGTATGTACTCCACTAGCGCGAGTTTTAATGGAAATTTTAATTAACCATATGAAAGGAATTAATAAATATTTTCACACAGCTTTTATATATAACCCTCTTGCTTATCATCTTGGAATGTAATCTACTATAGAAGACTAGTAACATATAAACAGTTAGCAATGGAAGAAAAGAATTCAAAATTACAAGTTCAACCCCCAAATAAGGGGAATCTCATAACAATCCTTAGTATTGATGGTGGGGGTATAAAAGGAATCATCCCTGGTGTAATTCTTGCTTACCTAGAATCCCAGCTTCAGGTAACACTTGTAGTACTCAAAGCCATTCATGTCTACATGTATTTTAAACTTCAAAATCTTTTCTTTTGCACGATTAACAGATTTTTGGACCACTTTATGTAAAAGTTTACATTATTTTAGACCAGATTAGTTTACGAGCACAATTTTCATAAGTAGGTGTCTTGTTGCAATGTTCGGTGCAGGAGCTAGACGGTGAAGATGCAAGGCTTGCAGATTACTTTGATGTAATCGCAGGAACGAGTACGGGTGGTCTCGTGACCGGCATGCTAACTGCGCCAAATGAAAATAATAGACCTTTATATGCTGCAAAAGACTTGGTCCCTTTTTACCTTGAGAACTGCCCAAAAATTTTTCCTCAGTCTAAGTAATTAAAGCTCTTCTATTCTGCAAATTAAGTTCTTCTGAGTGGTAAAACTGAATGACTTTCTGTTGTTTTGAATCTGATATACAGGGGAACGCTGGCGGCACTGATGGGCACATTTAAAGCTCTACAAGGACCTATGTATGATGGGAAGTATCTTCATAGCCTTTTAGAGGGCCAATTGGGGAAGACAAGGTTGCATGATACTCTCACCAATGTTGTTATTACAAGTTTTGACATCAAGAAACTTCAACCTACTATCTTTAGCTCGTTTAAGGTAATATCCTTCTCTCGTAAAATCTTATTATAACGGACATAGAGGTAAATTGGATGTCTTAGGCTAAAACTCCGAAGGCCTAACTACTAGGATTTGCAAAAACACAACTTTTGTCTAGGATTGAGGCTCAAACTACTAGTTGGGCGATCATTGTAAATTGAAGTTGTCCCAATTTGCAAAAGAAAATAAGAAGTTAGTCTATAGATGATCATTATTGATAATGCTTTATATTTTTCTGGACTTAGTTTCTGTTTGTCAAACATTAACAGTTACTAAAAATTTATTTATTTTTGTCAAGTTAAATTCAAATATTAATATCAATCACACATTACTACTATTAACTCTACATTTCGTGGGACTCAATATCATTCTTCTAGAAAGTTACTAGTAATTTAATTCAAACTCAATTCTCTGTGTAGGCGCCTAAGGATTCTGCAATGGATGCCTTACTATCGGACATATGCATTAGTACTTCAGCGGCACCTTTATTTTTTCCTTCCCACCAATTTGAGAACCAAGGAAAAGAATTCAACCTTATAGATGGTGGAGTAGCAGCTAATAACCCGGTAACGCATATAATTTTATTAAATAAAGAAGAAACATTGTGCTAATGAGATTGAAATTTGACTTTGATTGATCGTATAACTATTTCAGGCATTGATTGCCATTTCGGAAGTGACAAGAGAAACGTTCAAGAAAAGTCCCGATTTCTTCCCTCTTAAGCCAATGGATTTTGGACGTTTTCTTGTGATATCCCTAGGGACGGGCGACGCAAAGAATGAAGGACAATATGATGCGAAAAAGGCAGCCAAGTGGGGGTTTTTGGAATGGCTCTCTCTCAACAATTCTACTCCTCTTTTGAATGTGTTTTACCAAGCAAATGCAGATATGGTTGATTTTCACAATTGCGTTGTTTTTCAAGCACTTCTTTCCCAAGAAAACTACCTCCGCATCCAAGTAAGTTCATCGCAGCCTTTTCGCTGTCTTAGTAGTACATATGGACTTCACTGATCGCTGTACAAGAACGAACAAAATTTTAACTTCTTTTTTATGGTTTATTTTCATATGCAAAATTAGGATGATACTTTGCCTGCGGAGTTAGCCACTATGCATAGAGCAACGGAAAAGAACTTGGAAAATCTGGTAAAAGTCGGTGAAGAGCTGTTGAAAAAACCGGTTTCAAGGATGAATTTTGAGAATGGTGTTGTTGAACCGGTGGAGAATGCAGGAACCAATATGGAAGCACTCAAAAGGTGCATATGTATTTCAATTTCATTCTTGCTGGTGAAGCATTTAATAACCAAGATGCAAAATACTCATAATTCTTTTGGTGTATAATTGCAGGTTCGCAAAATTACTCTCAGAAGAAAGAAAACTCCGGAGATCCAACACCATTACACCAAGCAATAATTAAATATTGGAGATTATGTCACTGTTTTATCTTATTTAAATTGATAATGAAAAACGTATTTGATTTTTAGTCATGGTTGATGTATCAAACCTTTTCGGTAAGGGTACGAGTTTATCTTGTTGTTCACTGTTCAATTTTAACTATGATATTAGACAGCATCGAATATATGAGATAAGTGTTTATCTGAATCTAGAGAACATTTGTAATAAAATGGCGAAAACCATACCAAGTCTTATGTGGACAATAAATTCAATATCTCCCCAGTTTGAAAATTATGTGAGATACTACCAGTGTATTAAAAACTCAGTCTAAGTGGCATCTAGGCTCAAGACTTGGGTGAAATGCCACACCTCGACAATGAGCTCCTAGTGACGCTTAGTTATCATTATTTTTTTCCCCTTTTTAAAAGCCATTTATCAAACTTTAGTTTCAAGATTTTAAATAACTTTATCTATACAAAAGTAAAAAATGAAAACATGTAAAGAAATCTCAAGTAGGACTTAATTAATTAGTTGAATGTTGAAATTATGAAAAATAGTCTAACTTTTGCATTTCGAAAATTTGAAAATTGCATAATTGACTAATTGTAGAAATTATTAATCTCTTGTTTGGTATAATTTTAATTTAGATTTAATTTAAGTCAAAATCAACAAATTTCAACCACGTGTTTTATGGAACTCACAACAACTTTCTAACCACACATTTCATCAATTGTTATCAATTTACTAAAATTTAATTTTAATCCCAACAAATAGGGGCTAAATAAATATAGCATTATAATTTTAGATGTTTGGTATATATATTTTTTAATTATTATGGCAATGACTAAAAATTTAAAATAATATTAAAAAAAATTATGCTTAGGCCTTATCTAGGCTCGTAAAGTTTGAAACTTGACCTCCATGCCTAACCACACTTTAAGATAAAATAATGGATAACATATGAAATCTACAAAATTACAACATTAAGAAAAAAAATCATTATATTAAATTATAAAAGCGCAAATTATAATAATTACTAGATTAAATGTAGGGTTTCTAAAAAATTGCATAAGTTGTAAAAGTAAGTATATATATTATGTGATTTGTTGTATTTTTCTTTAAGCATTCATATATTTTCGTTTTACATTATTTAACAAATGTAGATATTTCTGAATTCAACCCTCTATTTTTCCCTATTTATCTTCATTGTCCTTCATTCTTTGGGAATAATACACAACCATAAGACTAAAATAATCACATTTCAAATTTAACAATCTTATTAAATACGTTCACAAACAAAAAATGAAAACGACCATATTGAGATCTCTTATGAAGTGGTGGTGGTGATGAGGTAACAACTGCGTTTAGGAAATAGATCTGTGTGGTGGTGGAGATGGTGCATTGTACACAGTGGTGGATGTAGGTACTGGCCAGCTAGGGCGGCCGCCCTAGTTGGATCCGCGGGGAACAAATTTTTTTTGTTGGCAATAGCTAAATAATTTATATTATATAACTAATAATCCATTTTACGTACAAACATTCCATGTAGCTGAGTTGGTTGGAGCCACCATAATCAAATTGGAGCTCACAGGTTCCAAAAATAGTGCAAAGGAAGCAATTCGAACCAAGAACTTTCTTTAAGATTGTTGAAGACTTGACCACTGTGGCATCTTATGGGACATGACACTCAATGAACGAAATTTTATATGTACTCTGTTGAGGTTCCTGTCACTCAATGTAACAAAATTTTATACTTTCTTGAAAAAAATTAATGCAATCAAAACGATTCAAACATTTTCTCTTCTTTTGGATTATGCAAAGCTTGACCGCTGGGGTAGTATTAGATTTTGTTAACTTTTATCACAAAATTAATATATCTTCATTTTTAGCGAAATAATTGTTATATTTAATTTTAAATATTTTATTGCGACCGACGAAAACGATCAACCACTGCCCGTGCTCACTCAAAATGCTGGATTCGCCTCTGGTTGTACATGATGATAGTGCATTGGAGTTGAACAGTGTGGTGGTGGTGGTGAGATGGTAGCAACATTTTTAGGTACTATGTGGTGGCCGTAATCATCTTTGTTTTCGTTTTGATTTGTGACTAGGTCAATCCTAATGGTGAAATAATGTGACCAAGTCACTGTTAATTTGGTGAGTTACAGGTGATCAAAGTGCATTGGAATTGATCGGTGTAGTGGTTGTGGCGGTAGTGAAGTGATAGCAATGCTTTTGGGTACTGTGTGGTGACTGTGATCATGTTTGTCTTCATTATGACGTTTGTCACTAGTTCAATCTTAACGATGATGTTATGTGACCAAGTCACTATTAATTTGGTCATATATAATCACAATTAATACGGATTTGATTATAATCAATCACAATTACACACAGACTTGATAACAAAGGATCACCACGAGTAAATTCGCACACTCCGTAGACAAGCACTACAACACATACACTTACAACCAATCACAATTAACACAAACTTAATTACAACCAATCACAATTAACATGGACTTGGTCACAGAGGGTCATTATTAAATTTGCACATACTGCAGACTAGTACCACAATCAATCACCACCGCAAATCTAAAACAGCAAGCCATACGATAGATTGAACAAGGAACTCACACTTGCTCTTCCTTCAACACATCACTGTCACTACCACCTGCACCACAATCAACCACCACCACCTCCTCCAATAATCACCAACAATATATTGATGACCATACCAGCAATTTGTTGAGCAATTGAAAAACTATAGAGAGAGAATTTCATTTGTAAAATGTTGAAGAACGTATGTGTCATACCTGCAATTTTTTGAGCAATTGAAAAATTATAGAGAGAGAATTTCACTTGTAAAATGTTGAAGAACGTATGTATTGTAGTGAGAGAGAAGACGCGATGGTGATGGTGATGGAAGAGAGATAATGGGTAGGAGTGATTGTAATGGAAATAATTGTAAATAGACTCATTAGATAAACATAAAACTATTTTTATATTAATCACATATTAAGAAATTTAATAAAATCTTCATTATCATATGATTTGTGAAATTAAAACTAAACCCCCTTATTTTGGAATGGTATCTTATATATGCAGAGTTATGAGTGATTTTTCTTTCTTTTAACGTCAAACGGCCATTGAACATGACCTATGCGAGCAACTCATGCAAGAAGTGGGCCTAATAATTCTGGCATGTCATTAGGAAACTTGACACCGATGGCATTGAAAATGGACATATCGTGAGTATTCATATAAAATTATTAGTAACATTTTAGGAGGAATATAATTAACTTCCACGAAATGCCTGATTAATAAATAAGTAATAATTGTGAATGTGTATGTGATATTTATGTTTGACTTTGACTTGAACAAATATATGAATCGGCTACAAACTTTATGTTGACTAATGTTAGTGCTATTTTTGTCAAGTTGGACTGTAGGAGAGTGGGCCTGTACAGAGTAAGCTAGGTTGTTTTAGGTTAGGTCGAATGAGTCCTCTTTACGGTTTTAATTCAAGTCTTTATTCGGCGGACATTAAAATTAGATTTTTATTAAATTTTGATAAAAATTGATGAAATATGTTGTTAAAAATTTGTGAATTTAATAAAATATGTAATTATAATTAATTGTTAACTTTAACTTAGATAAAAATTCTGATTTTAATCCCTATCCCAAATGTTTTATTTTGCCTTGTTTGAGCCCCATTTTGGGGGAGAGAATGAATTTATGAATAGCGGATTGATGAGAAATGTGTGGTTAAAAAATAAGTAGAAGTTTTGAATTTGCGTGTAATATTATTTTATTGAACAATATACGGTTGAAATGATGTTAAAATAGTGTTGAAAATGCATTTTTTCAAAAGAATGGAGCTCGAACAAGGGCTTGGTTGAATGAATGTTTCTTCCTTTTCCTTGCCACAGTGGGATCATATTGTACATGCACAATTGATCATTCCACGCACGCAATTCAATTTTGCAATCTTGGACTCCCATTCTTTTATGTTTACCTATTATTAGTAAAAATGCATTTTCAAGGTATGATAAGACAATAATATTTGAGGAGGAGGAGGAGGAGGAGGAGGAGAATAATAATAATAATAATAATAATAATAATAATAATAATAATAATAGTAATAATAATAATAATAATAATAATAATAATAATAATTTGTAAGACAATATAAGTCAGTTGAAAATTTTCTCAATCTAGATAACACAAAATGTTTCATATGCAAATATATAGCAATTGCAATTGTAGCGGTGAGGGAAATGGACATTCATGCTCGAGAGGGTGCATTGCTTCAAAATATTAACTTAAAATTTCTTCTTTAATTTTACTTACAACGGATTTAAGGAAGACTACTGAACTCCACGGTAGACACACGCCTATCATCTTTACATAAGGTCTAACCAAGGCTTTTCAACTTTCATTACTATTAGCAAAAGTTCGTTCGATAGCTAGCTTACCTGACTTGCTTACTTGCCGCATGTCTTACTAATTTCAGAATTTAACTCGGGAATTTATAGTTCTAAATTTAGTAGATTTGGGGGATGAACTACATCGAGAAGAAAATATTCCAGATCACTCGTTAAGGCACTTGTATGATTGCTTAGCTAGAAAAAAGACAGGAGCACAAGGACAACCAAGATGTTTGTCATTTTATTAAACGATGAGCAAACAATGTAGTTCATGCCCTTGCCTCGAGTGTACCTTTTCTTTTTCGAGGGTTGACCAACAATTACCCTTTATGGATGTAATTCTGAAATATGAAGTTATTGAATAGAAGCTCCATTTTCGTTTTTAAAAAAATTCTTACCCTTAAAAATGTCTGCTTTTGTGATATTTCCTCCGTTTGGGTCCCATTCTCCTTTTCATTCTTTTTTTTTCTCTTATTTTCAACAACATAATCTTATATAAAATAATATTATACGTAAATAAAAAACTTTTCATTCTTTTTCAACCACTAAAATTTGTCAAGAATGAGGGCCAAAAGGGGGCATTAATTCTCAATTTGATCAGAGAAAAGAAGTTAGCTCTTATTTGTCTATATTTAAAGTAGAAAAATTAGTTTTAAAATAGTGAATTTATGAAAATGTTTATAGAGTAGAAAAAAGTTTTGAGTTCATGTACAAAACATTTAATTTTTATAATGTGTGATTGAAAATGAATTTTAAAAAAAAGAGTTTTAAAATAATGGTAGAAAAACAGAGCTTAATAATTTATTTTTTAAAAAAGCATAAAATTAAGATGGTGTATTCAATAGAGAATTTTAGACTTTTTGAAATTTAGAAAGTTTAGAAATATTTAAATAAACAAGTTGAGGTTCTCTAAAAATATTGGTGTATTCAATCGAATATTTAAAAGTTACGGGAGATTCAATTAAAAGTTAAAACACTTTAGAAGTCTTTATAAGTCTCGAGGTGTTCAAATTATTAAAGACTTTAATAAAAGTCTACAAGATACTAACTTTTAAGTGGAAAGTAATAAAATACAATATCAAAATTTGTCTCTCATTCATTTCAAGATTTTGGAAGACTTTCACTAAAAAAATTAATGTACTTTCAATTTCTTTTAATATTTATCTTTATTTTTCCCTTATATGAATATTAGAATCATGATAAAAAAAAAATTATTATTCTTACTAGTTATATTTATTTCTATTTTTCTTTGATCTCTCTTATTATTATTATTTTTTTTATCACTACTCTCTATGAAAAATTAAATTGTAACTAAAATTTCTTATTACATTTTTTCTCTTTTTTCATCATTTTTATGGAAAATATTTATTCGTAATTATAAACTACAAAATTTTTATTAAAAGAAGACTAATTTATAATTAGATTTAAATCTAATGATTTCTTGTTTACTTTTAAAGGAGAAAGGGAATTGTGAGATCAACCACCTCACGTATAAGAATTTTATTCTGTTACTCTAAACCTACGTGAATTATATTTTAAATGAAAGTTTTCAAAAATCTTTTGATTTTTATAAAATTCTATAAAATTTAAAATGTAAGTAATCTAGAGAAATCAAAACTTAAAAAAATTTCGTAAAATCTTCAAAAAGTCTCTATTTAAATACATTTGAGCCCCATTTTATTTTTTTTAAATTTCATTTTTAAATAGCATTTTGATCTCATTTCAATTATACATTCTTCAATAAAAATGATAGTATACGCAAATTTATATTTTTTTCCTTATTTTATAACCATACACTTCTCATTAATTCACTTTTGATTTTATTATTATTATTATTATTTGGGTGCAAAAATGGGGCTGAAATAAGTTCTGAACAAAACAAAATAAGAGGGTGTTTGAGAGATATTTTTATGTAAAAATATATTTTTTAATAGTAAATTGATAAGAAATATGTGGTTGAAAAATAATGAATTTTTTTTATTTACGTGTAATATTATTTTAATAAAAAATATATTATTAAAAAGAAGAGAGAAAAATGTATTCTAAAAAAAAAAAAATGGGTAACCAACCAGCGTAAGATAAACATACAATCGGTCATTTTCACATCAGGAGAAAAGAAAATCATTATTCACCCCATTCCCAATTGAATTCCAGACTTCCTCATCCGTCAGTATACCTCCGTCCGCCCTTCCTACCGCCGCTCCACCACCGTCACTCTCTCCCAAAAAGCTTAACCGCGGCCCGATTCTCCCCTTCCACAAAACTTATTTCACTTCCATCTATCCCACTGTCTCTTTCATCTGCCGGCCTCGTCATCGAATTCAAGACTAGTCATCTCGCTGGAAATTCCGCTTTCGAAGTCTCCAGAAGGTGAATCTCTAATCCCTTTTCTATACTTTTTATCTATGTTTTCTATTCTACATGTATTTGGTTACGCATACGGACAGCGATCAAACTTTCCTGCGACCTTTTTTATGATGTATTTTTTGGAAACTTACATGCACGAGTGTGCAGATGCACTAACCAGTTAATGTGTAACGATTATGTTCTGATGGGACTTATCAAATTTTATTTTGTTAACTTTGAAATAGAGGGAATTTTTTTGGGTACCAGTTCTTTTTTCTCTTTAAAGCTGTGATTAGAAACTGTAATTGAACAATCTTAGTATGCTATGTACTTACTTTCAGCACTGGGCTATCAGTCGGTTGGGAATTTTATCGTTCACTTGCAGGTAATGTAAAAATTTCTTTTTTTTGGGATCAGAAATGTCAAAAATTACCAGTTGCAATTTCACATCGATAAACTGAAATGATTTATTGAATAATGAGCTTTTGGATTCTGTTACCTTTGTTTTCTCGACTTTAGATATGAACTCGATTATAAAAGACTATGATGTGTATTTGAAGTTTGTCAAATAAACTGTCCATCAAAGTTACTATTTTATTATCTCAACTATTCAATTCTTTTTTATTTCTATTTTTTATTGTGCAATTTTTTGATACTATATTTACTTTTAAGTTGGGATGAATGTAGGGGAAGAAAACAATTTAATTCTTGTAGAGTTTTTAAATAATTAAGTTTGAAGCCATGCTACTTTTCATTGTCAATATTGCGGGATTAGCTGTTATCTTCCCTCTTCACTCTTGCATTTTTATTGACTTTCAAGGTATTGTTCACCTGCAAAATTTCACTAGCTAATTATGGTAATTAAGAAAATTCTGGATCAAATTAGCTACTTCCCAAGTTCAGGTCTCAATAGAAGTGTTTCCTTTACTTTTTCCTCTTCCTTCTAGCCGGTACTTTTTACACACTTCTATTTATTTTCTTCCCTCCCCATTAGTTATAAATAAAGTATCTAGTTACACGAATCATTTGTTTTATTCCTCCCCATGGACACCGCCTTTCAAATTACATTCCGCAGAAATCACTTTCCTGCATTTCTGTTTTGCTAAAATTACCTTTTTGTGGCTCCCAAGAGATCCAAATCCATTAAAAACTGACCCTTTTTTAAAAAAAGTCATGCCTTACCCGTTAAAAAATTCATTTGGACACACAGTCAATGTAATGCCCAGCCCACCATGAAACTCATTGCATCAGTCGTTATGAGATCTCTCCTAAGTTGTCCCACATGACCTTGATTTTTTCAGTTATGGATCTCCTGAGTTTCTCATACAACTGTACAACCATCTACAATATCAGTAGTAGTCTTGTTTGCTGTACATAGAAGCATATGGCCATGCGAACCTTAGTATTTCCTGTTACATAATGTAATGAAAATTCTAGGATGAGAGCTTTTGTTTAAGATTCATAAAAGGAATAGAGAATCTACATGACATTGATGGATATTTAACTTTACTTAATAATTGAAAGTTTATAATAGTTTTACCTGAAAAAATTTAACTGTATTAGGAACTTGGAAATAAGTTGATAAATTGCAATCGGCCTTTACTTCTTAAAGCTCAAAGCATCTATAGTTATGGACATTCTTCCGATCTGGGTGAAGTTGTCCTTCTATAATTGTGATGTGCATGGGGCTGGGGTGTCTGCTCTTGCGGAGTGTTCTTGCAAGCAATAGAGATTTCTTGTTGCGTTGAGTAGATTATCTTTTAGTAATATATATACACACGATTATGATTTTGAAAGGAAAGTAATTAAGATGATAGAGACACTGGCATTCCAAAGCATCTATAGAAATGGACATCCCACTGATTCGAGGTGAAACCTTTGATGTCCGTGGTGTGCATGGGGGTGGGGGGTCTTCTCATCCGGAGTGCTCTTGCTAGAAATAGAGATTTTTTGTTGCATNCTTTGATGTCCGTGGTGTGCATGGGGGTGGGGGGTCTTCTCATCCGGAGTGCTCTTGCTAGAAATAGAGATTTTTTGTTGCATTGAGTTGGTTATCTTTTAGTAATATTTAAAGGAAAATCATTAAGATGATAGAGCAGTGCAGCCTTGTGAAGCAGATTCTGTCCCAATAAATATGCAACATACATTTTATTCCTTCTTGGTGTTGATTCTGATAAAGAATTAAATGCTAGATTACTTGAATGTGTTAAGATTATTTGACTTCACTTCCTAGCACCCTTGACAAGTTGACTTGTTTGTGCTTTGTGGCTCTATCTAGCCCAACGTCAGCCTTTATTGATGTTGGATTTACAAATAAAAGCACGTCCAAAAATCTTCGACTTATTTAATCCTCATTATTCTTGGCTTTTCTACTCTAAAAATAATCACGAATTTTGCAGTTATTAAGTAAGACAGCATTAGTATTTCCATCTCCAAACAATTATATCAAGAGACATTTTGAATATTTTACATATTTATTATTTGCTTTGTTTATCCTTTAGGTTTCTGCGATGCATCGTGTGGGAAGTGCAGGAAACACATCTAATTCAGTTCGTTCTCGTAAGGAAAAGAAGTTTACATATGTGTTGAATGATTCAGATGACACAAAGGTGATGCTTTGTTTTAGTTCTCTCATTGTTGATTCTCACTTGGTAACATTTAAGTGCTTGCTTTGATGAAATTTTGATGTGCTACATTGACATACCATAACTCATCAACCAATCCCTCTTTCCTGCTTAAAACAATTAAGAAAAACAAACAAAAGGACATATTAAAAACAAAAAAACAAAAAAAAAAAAACCTATTCAGTCCTCTGTCTCGCCCATTGATTGAGTAGTATCCACTTGAGAACATTCATATGCACGATCTTCCTACTGGCTTTCTTTCCCTCATTATGTTAGTACATTCTTTTATCCTTCTTTTTCTTCTCTCAGCTGCCTTGTATTCTCACACCATCTTCTTTCGGGATCTGGTATTGCTACTTTATCGTTATAGAAGTGGCTCCATTCTTGTACATGATGTCATCATTATTCTACAGTAATCAACTTGTTGAATGAAAAGTAATGAATGAAGGGGGAAAAGCTTTTTGGTTTCTCTCTGCCAATAATATACTAATAACTTGCTTCTGTTATGGATGATTATGCGTGTGCATACAGAAGTATTTCTGTAGATCTCATAGCATTGATTTCACTTCGTTTTGTGCATATGCTGGGATGATAAAGGGGTGGGAATACTAAGCCCTTGTGTGATCCCTATTATTTTCAAAATACATTTCGCTCTATCTTCTTTTTAACCACACATTTATTACACGCAAACCCAAAATTTTTCCTTATTTTTTTAATTACACATTCTCCATCAAAATACTATTCCAAAATACATTTTTGGACAAAAAAGGGGGCTCAAACAAGCTCTAAATCTTCTGTGGAAAGGCTAATTTTATTAATGGCTCTCTTTCTGTTAACTGAAGAGCATCAGTTTTGCACCATTGATTAAATGTGCAACAATAGTCTTGCAGTTATTCATGTTTAACTGGCTCACGGATGAAAAATTTGCAGGTTTTTTTGCTTGGCATCTAAGATTTCTTACATATACTTTCATCTTAATATAAAGACGAAAACATTGCTACTTATTCGTGAAGTTCTTGTTTTAAGTGCTAAGAGATCTTGGTAAAGAGGGTGAGGATAACTTTCAGGTGCTTTTTCATGAGAGCTAAAATGTGATTTTGCAAATTCCAGTGACTTTAATTTTTGCTTGTGATGCGAAATTGCGAATTGTCCTTGATCAGATATTGAATTGTTGATACCTGACTTGCTTTACATTCCCAGTTTGCATCACAAGGAATCATACATATATTGACAGATATTGAACCCTGCATCTTTCATGCAAGAAAATGCCTTCGCCATTTTTATGTAATTTATTTCCCAAAGATTAATGAGTACTCAGAATCAGTCATCACTCACATATTTTACCTGTTATGCTGAATGGATAGTAATCTTGATGTCACTTCTTTGGGTGCTTCTTCTCTTTGCAGCACTGCGCTGGCATAAATTGCTTGGCTGTGTTAAAGTCATCCGGACCAGGTGGGCCTGATTATCTTTTTACTGGGAGTCGTGATGGTACATTAAAGAGATGGGCCTTGGGTGAAGACGTTGCTTCCTGCTCTGCTACATTCGAGTCTCATGTTGATTGGGTATCAGTCATTCCCCCCTTTTGTGTGTGTGTGTGTTTAAATCTCCAGTTTACTTTATCTTTTTATGTTTGATTTAAAGGTTTATTTTAGTTGGTGACTTATCTGGGGAGAACTTGAATCATTGATGCCATTAAGGGTGAACATATTACCAATGAAACCAACCAACCCGACTAAACGATCCCAACTCGGTCAGGT